TTTTTTTTATTTAATGCTTAATGGATGGTGGGCGTTGAAATGAACAATTCTCCGATAATCTAAGTTTTATAATTAAATCGGTTTTGTCAAATGGTTTAATACATGATTATGATGTCTGAAATGCAATAATTCTTAAACTAATAAAGACATTTTCCTTAGCTAAGCAAAAAAATGTTCTTTAACAGTATTGTTTCTAATGATGGCACTTAATTAATTTTTTTTTTTTATGAGGAGGATTCATTGGTGGCGCAAACTATCGTTTCTCGACGACTTCTAGAGTAATTTGAAAAAATACATTTGAGCCTTCACAAGGATTAAGAATTTTAAAAGCAATTCTGAGAAGCTAAACTGGTTAATTTTTAGTTCTATATTTTTTGTTGTTTTTCAATTTCTTTTGTTTTAAAAAAAATTGATTTTCTCGATGATTAACATATTAAACTGATGGTTCTATACTTTTTTCTTATTTTTTGAGGATTCCCGTAAATTTTTGAACCGGTGTTATGAAAAATACGACAAAAGAAAAAAATTTTTTTTTTTAATTGAAAAGAAAAAATAGAAATCGGAAAAACACCTTTCTGGAAATTTCATGATATCTGTAAAAAATGTCAAAGTTTAGAATGAGAAAAAGAAAAAAGAAACTAAAAATGGTATTCATCAAAAAATTCGGAGTTTTTTCTAAAAATTTTAAAAATAACGATGAAGATAGCTTTAAAGAATTTTTTTATATTTTTTTTCCAAACAGAACATTTAATAACAAAAATTTTGAAAAAAAAAAACGTCCCGATAAGCCAATATTTGAAAAAGTTATGGCAATTTAAAAATAAAAAAACGGTTTTTTTTTTTAAAAATTCGGAACTTTTTTTTGGTTGGGTAAAAAAATTTGAAAAAATTATGAGAGACGTTTTTGATAGGGTAGAAAAGGATGGTAAACTTTCAGCCAAATCAAAAGGGGTCAGGGTCAAAAGTGGTTGATTTGGCGTGGAATGCCCCATATACATATATGTAATATATATATAAATAATATATGAAAAATTGATGTGGGTACTCGAATGAAAGCTCTTGATGAGTATAACATCGGGATGGGCTTATATCTTTAAAAATGCCAATATTTCACAAGATACAAGGTCATTTCTTAATTATATTAAATTACACTGTATTTGCTTAACTATTGAAGTTTTTAAAGTTATAAGCTCATCCTGATGTTACACTCATCAAGAGCTTTCATTTGAGTACCCACATGCACTTTTATATATTTTTCATATATACATATATATATATAATATATATAAATATATGAAAAAATGATACGGGTACTCAAATGAAAGCTCTCGATGAGTATAACATTAGGACGAGCTTATGTCTTCAAAAATGTCAATAGTTCTTAAGATACAAGGTCATTTCTTAATTATCTATCTAGAGATACATTTTCGAATGCAGCTTAATTATCATCATAAATTGACTGTGAGAATGATATGAAACCTTGAAAAGACGCAACTCCAGATATTTTATTAATTTTTTAATTCGTATTATATTTTAAAAAATATTACGATATAAATCAATTTAAAAATAAAATTAAATAATGATAAAAGTGTTATTGTGAAATGACGCTTTAACATAAACATAAATACGCCTAAATTAATTTTTATTTTTCTAAAGACAATACGTACTTTTGGAGGTTTGAAAGGATACTCCGGAGAAAAATGAATGTCCAAAAAGAAGACACCTCCTTCATAGACTGACCCGGGTGGGCCCAAGATAGTAGACACCCATTCATATAAGTTATCTCCCTTAGGGCCTGCACTACAGTTTGGCGGAGGGTCCAGAGTTATTTCTGCTAATTCTTTTTGTATTCTAACACACAAAAGAAAATTATATAAATAAACAACAATTATCATTAAAAAAATAAAAACATAACTAAAATAAATAATAATAATAATAATAATAATAATAATAATAAATGAGGTTATGGTATTTACCTTTTAGCTGAAGTACCCAATGCCTTTGACATTTTAGGATTTGGCTTGGCTTCCTTATTCTCCGGCTTATTGTCCGCCAACGAGGAGCCTCTTCCTCGCCCAGTACCACTGGATCCAGCTCCAGAAGACATTGTTCTAAAAAATAATCCTTAAATTTATTTATTTAATAATTTTCTACCCAAAAAAAATAATAAATTATTAATGAATTAAAATTTTGCTTCTATAATTAACTTTTTTAATTATTAACAACTTTTTTAGTTAAAATTTAAAATAAAAAATAAAATTATAAATAAAAAAAAAAAAGTATGCATAATGAGTACTTTGTTTGAAACTTTCACGGCGTGTTGACAATTTAAAGTGATTATTTAAACTTTAATCAGAAGGTATTTAATCTTAAACAGTATCACAAAAATTTGATAATATTTTTGAGGAGTTAAACAGATAATTGTACCGGTTGCTCCTAAATATCTTAGACTCGTCGGATTACGACAATGGAGGTTTTAGGTATATACAAAGGATACAACATTAACTCACAACAAGGAACTACCTTAAATTTTGACCATTAATTTTTTCAAGGTTAAGAGGTTCAGCTGGGTCACTTCGTATCGTTATTCACTAAATAGTTTACAAAGATTCAAGTCAATTTACTAACTATTCCTTAGATACCCGGGCGTCTTTTCACGATTTCTTTCTTTTCTTCAAGCCTCACTCTCTCTCTATTTCGCTCTCGGATCTTCTCTTTCTCTCTCACTAGATTGTTGAATTCCTTTTTGCACGCCGTACTGCCGGGAACAACCTTCACTGAATAGACTGAATACAAGCTACACAAGCGCACCGAAAGCTACACATAACACCAATTTTAAATCGTCCGCTCAGGAAATGTCGCCATGTTATTTAAAATTGTGACTAGAAATAGAAAACTAGATTCGTTAATCATTTCATAACTTTCAGGTATTTATTTTTTAATTATAAATTCTTTTATTTTTTTGACAGTATTTTTAGAAATATTTAATTGTTTTTTTTTTTTACTTAATTTTATTTTATTTAAAAAATAAGCTAATTATTTTTGGTGCTGAAATATAATTTTTTTTTTAAATGGCGGAAGTGAGAAACTTAAAAAAGCGCCACTAGAGACATATGTACAGTGTTTCCGGTTAAATAATCAATACCTATAGCAAATTTTACTTGGACTGTTGGTAACAATTAAAATGCAATAATAACAAGACATTAATTATGATTATTATTATTTTTTAGCATAAAAAAATAATAATTTTTGTAAGGTTATGTTTTGAGCAAACGTTTATATTGACAAAAGTTTATAATATTGTTTTAATAAATAATTAATAATAAAATAATTAATTTAAAATTACTTGGAAATAATAAATTATCAAAATGGGGAAACGACAGCATCAAAAAGATAAAATGTGAGTAAAATTGTTTATATTATTAAAGTTAGCTGTCACTTAACCATTTTTCAATTTTTTTTAACAAAAAAAAATTGCTTTTTAAAAATTGCATTTTTTTATTTTTAAAATTTCACTTGTCAATTTTTTTTTTTGCTATAATTTATTTGCTACAAAAATTCTTAAAATTATTGAGTATCTGCTAAATTAATTTTCATAAATTTTTATTTTTTTATGACATTTAAATTAACAGAAACTTGATAATTTTTTTAAAAAAGAAAACTAAAATAATATGAAAATTAAGTTAGCCGACTTTCAAAAATTTTTAGAATTTTTTTTTATTAAAAAAATTATTACAAAAAAATAAAAAAAAATTTCACTTGTTAAAAATTTCAAAAACTATAAGTGTAATTTTCAAAAAATTTTTTTTAGTTGTAATTTAATAAATTAAGCAAAATAAAAAAATCAAGGTGTCGGCTAACTTTATTATTATTATAAAATAATTTTTTTTTTAAATTTCATTAATAATTTTTTGGAGCTCTTAAAAATTGAATTTTTTAATGATATTAAAGTTAGCTGTCACTTGACCATTTTTCAATTTTATTTAACAAAAAAATTTGTTCCTAAAAATTGCATTTTTAATTTATTAAATTTTCTAAAAGTCAATTTTTTTTCTCAATTTTTTATTCAGTAATTTATATATTAAAAAAATTATTAAATATCTGCTAAATTAATTTTCATAATTTATTAAATAAATTTTTTCTGCTATAATTCATTTTTTTTTTTAATTCTAAAAATTATCAGATGTTTCTTAATTACAAAATTAAAAATTAGCAGCCACTTGATAATTTTATTTAACAAAAAAATTTATTCTGAAAAATTATTTTGAATTTTATAAAATTTCTACTTGTTAATTTTTTTTTACCAAAAATTATCTTTTAAATTAATTTTCACCTCAATTTTGTTATATTTATTTAATAAATTATGTTTAACATTAATTTTGCAATTCAGATTTATTTTTAACAATTTTATTATTTAATCCAGGTACCTGACGTACACAGAATGGACGACTCTTTACGGAGGAAAAAAGTCGGGTGAGAATTCCGAGACCAGTGAAGATTCAACCTTCCGAAGATTGCCTTTCAATCATTGTTGTGTCAGCTTACAACCATTTGAACACCCTTATTGCGACCCCGAAGGCAATGTTTTTGAATTAGAACCGATATTAACCTATGTAAAACATTTTAAACATAATCCTGTAACAGGAAAGCCGTTTGATGTTAAAAAACTTATCAAGTTGAATTTTGCTAAAAATTCTGCTGGAGAGTATCACTGCCCTGTACTTTTCAAAGTTTTTTCAAAGTTCTCGCATATTGTCGCGGTAAAAACAACTGGAAATGTTTTCTCTTGGGAAGCTGTTGAGCAGTTGAATATTAAAACAAGAAATTGGAAGGATTTAATTAATGACCAGCCATTTACTCGCGCTGATCTTATTACTATCCAAAATCCTACCGATGCTAGTAAATTTAATTTATCTAGATTTCATCATATTAAAAATAATTTGAGGGTTGAAGATGAAGGTATTTTTAAAGAATGAAATAATTTTATTTTTATTGTAAAATTATTATAAATTTTTGACCAAATTATTTATTTTAGAAACTATTAGAGAACGTAATGATCCAAATGCTAAACTTAAGACAGTCTCAGCAGAGACAAGTGATATATTGGCAGAGCTTGAGAGGGATTATAAACCTCCTGAGCAAAAAGAAAAAACTGTAAAAGCCACAGCTGATAAATTTAATGCGGTAAGATATTAAATTAATCTTTGTTATTTTTTAATTTATGAATTTTTTTACATTTAATAATATTTTTTATTTATTCAAGGCTCATTACTCAACTGGTGCAGTAGCAGCAGGTTTTACTTCAACAGTTATGCCAAGAGAAACAGTTCATCAAGCAGCAATTATAGCTGATGACTTAGTTAGATACGAGAGAGTTAAAAAGAAAGGATATGTGAGATTAGTTACGAATTTTGGCACGCTTAATCTTGAACTTCATTGCGATATAGTACCAAAAACCTGTGAAAATTTTCTTAAACATTGTCAAACTGGTTATTATGATAATACTAAATTTCATCGATCGATAAGAAATTTTATGGTAAATATAAAACAATCATAACGACGGTCTAATTAGCAATTGGTCTAACTCCTTATTTTTTAGAGGGTGATTTTTTAACATTTTGATGTAGCAATAATTTATTTATTTATTTATTTACTAGCTGTTACTCGCCCGCTCCGCTGGGCGCTTTATAGAATTGCATTTTTAGATCTAGACTTGAAATTTAATTAGAGTATTGTTTTGACTTGCAAAGATTCCCAATTCTATCGAATTGGCATGCACCTTTTATTCATGTAATTATTCTAGCTAATATTCATTGTAACTTTCAATGTGAAATCATTATAACATTCCCGGGTTTTTCTTACGAAAATGAATAATAATTGATATGAAAAAAAAAAATTTGTAATGAGCACTGAAAGTTTCAGTTAAAGAAATTGCAGGTCTCATAACTGAAGAAATCTGCCTAGTATATTAACATAACCAATAGAATTAAAACATTTATTTTAAACAAATTAAAATCGTATAGAATAAATTTAGTTACAATAAAAATTCATTATTTCTAAGTCAAAAAAATATAGCTTCCGGATAAGTAATCACCAACATGTCATATACTAAAACCTTCTCTGAAACACGCTGCATCTTATGGTATAAGTATTATTCCGATCGATTCAATAGTTTTCGCAGTATAACCGGACAAAAAAAAACCGGCTCTCCATTTATTAGTATAGATTTATTTATTTAATTTAAATTTCAAGGCAATGGCCGAATGGCAAATGATACAAAATAAAAGAGTAAGAAGTCCATATAAGAATATAAACAAATCTATATAGATATTTAACAGTATTAGGATTATTTTTATTTATTTATTTATTTATTTATTCGATTTGAATACCAAGGCAACAGCCAAATGGCAAAAATACAAAAATAAGTAATATAAAGTACATGTATGAGTATAAACAGGTCTATATAAACATATTAACAGTATTTAAATTAGAAAAGATAATCAACTAATTACAATCAGTCAAAGTGAAATGAAGTAAGAGTAACAAGGAATTTAAAAATATAAGTGCCCGATTAAGTTAGATTTAATGCACTGCGAATTACACCAAATTTTAACAACTTGAATTTTTCTCAATAGTACCAGGTATCAGGCTCTCCTTGAGCTCAAGGTCATGGAAGAATTTATAAGCTTTTGTCTTGAAGGTATCAATACTAAGTGCATTGATGACATCAGGTGGTAATTCACGCCAAAGACGTATTGAAGAGATTAAAAATGAATGTTTATTATGATGAATAGAACAATGTTAACAAGAATTTGAATTTTAAATGCTTAAAGTTAGACTTCAGTTTAAATATAAATTTGAATTTAAAGTACTGCAGATAATACTAATTTTAATGATTTGAATCATCATCAGTGATACCGGGTATAAAGCTCTCCTTTATGATTGATGAAATAATGAGTAATGATTATTATTTATTTATTAAGACCTTGGAGTCATAATTCCTTGTGGCCCTCCAAAGTAAATACAAAATTCGTATACAATAGTGTTAAAACAATATTAAACAAAATGTAATGAACAATTATTAATGTAATTAACAATTATAAATTATTTGAATGATCCAAACCAAAATACTATACCTTTATTAGATATTAAATAGTTTTTTAAGTATGATAATAAATTTCGAACAATTGTTTTTTTCGTACAAATGGAAGATTCTCTAAAATGGAGTTAGACAATCTGCTAATTAGAACTTCGATAAGATGTATAAATTTTATCTAAGACAATTCATTTTTTTTTTTTAAAGATTCAAGGTGGAGATCCTACTAACACTGGTAATGGCGGAAAATCTATTTGGGATGCACCTTTTCCCGATGAATTTAAACCAAATTTAACTCACCAGGGAAGAGGTATTCTTTCTATGGCAAATTCCGGACCAGATACGAATGGATCACAATTGTAATTTTTTATTTACAGCTTTTAATTATTTTCTTTATCGTTTCGTTATACTAAAAATATATTTTTTTTTTAGTTTTATAACCTTCCGGTCGTGTCGACATTTAGATCGCAAGCATACAGTTTTTGGGAAAATTGTTGGTGGCTTGGATACTTTAAATGCTATGGAAAAAATAGAAGTTGATAATAAAGATCGACCTATTGAAGATATTATAATTCTTCGCGCAAACGTTTTTGTGGATCCTTTTCAAGAAGCTGATGAACAATTAGCAGCTGAAAGAGCAGCTGAGTTAGAAAAAGCTGCTCAAGAAGCTAAAAATAAATTAGCGATTAACAAAAATAAAGAACAAAAAAATGTTTTAAAGGCTTATCATTCTGGTGTTGGAAAATTTATAAATATTGCTAAAGAAACAGAGTAAGTTTTTTTTTTTTTATCAAATAAAATCTGTATTTTTAATATAATCGATCTTTATATCAATTTTTCATTTTATTTTTTAGAGTTGTGGAGTCAAATGCTCCAGTTAAGAAGAAAAAAAAATTGACATCTTCTGCCGGAAATTTTTCATCGTGGTAAACTTAATTTTGAATATAATTAATAAAATTTAAATTATTTTTTACATTGTAAAATAAAACTATTTTTTTTTTTTATTATTGTAAACTGTTGTAATAATTTATAATAATTACTATTAATTGTTTAAGGTAAAAATAATATGTCATTTTAGAAAAGCTGTTTAGAAAAAGAATTTTTAAATGAAGAATTATAAATTAATTAATTATAAATATATTAGAAAAAATAAAATAAATTTATATTTAATAAAAATTATTTCTTCAACTTGTGAAGCTATAGAATATTCTGTGTGCAAATTAAATTTTTCAAGCTGAATAAAAATAACGTGATCAGTAAACAAAGTGCCATGTGAATGTATGGATTTATGTGGCGCTGTCATAATGCATGAATACGCTTCACACAACTACTAGTGCAGTGTTTTCGCGAGCCCGAACAAAGGTTATATATGTCCAATGTTTTTTTTATTGAAGCTAAACCAAAAAATAAATTTATAAATTCTAGTAAGAACATTTTAATTATTTTACAATTAACATTTTTTTACTGTTACTGAATTACTGAGTTTGAAATAATGAATCTTTTTAAAGTATGACGTCAAAAAATCATGTTGTATTTAATTTCAGGCCTGTTATTATGAAACTGAAGTTAGCTGACAGCTGACAAATTTTTAGAATTTTCTTTATCAAAAAAATTCTTTAAAAAAAATTTTATATCTAAAAAAACATAAAAAACAATAATTTCAATTAAATTAAAATATCTATTTAATTTTAATTAATTAATTAATAAAAAAATTGAAAAATTTTTAGGTGTCGGCTAATTTTAGTATCATTTGTAATTAAATGTAAATAATCCGGTAACAGTACGTAGAATTCTGTGAAATGAATCATCTTAATTATTAGGACTATATTTTCAGAATTTCTTCATTGATTTAAGTGATGCATTAAAGAGCTAATTGTAACAACTAGGCAAGTTTAATGAAGAATATTTTATTTTATACATTTTATTTTATATATTTTAATTATGACATTAAAGTTAGCAGTCACTAGAGAATTTTTTAATTTTTTTTAACAAACAAATTTTTAAAAAAAAATTATTTTTAAAAAATTGTATTTTTTTTAATTTCTACATGTCAATTTTTTTTTCTGATTTTCTTGCCATAATTTATTTAAAAAAAAAAAATTAATTTAAAAATTCCACATGTGAAAATTAATTAAAATTACAAGTGAAAATTTTTAGAAGCATTTTTTTATTATAATTGATTTGTTATAAAAATTTTTAAAATTAACAGCTGACAGCTAAAAATTTTTAGAATTTTTTTTATTAAAAAAATTATTACAAAAAAATAAAAAAAAAATTCATTTTTAAAAAACTATAAGTGCAATTTTTTAAAAATATTATTTAGTTCTAATTTAATAATTAAAAAAAAAACTCAAAAAATTGACAATATCGGCTAACTTTATTATTATACTTTGGTATCATTTATTTTATTGTATATATGTGTGAATAATTATTTTTAAGTTTTTAATAATTATTTTTCAGAGTTAAATAATTTTAAATAAAATTATTTAAAGTAATCTTCAAGAAGAATACTATCATGGCTGCGTTATCTGCAAATAAAAACATAGAAATATTTTACAACGCAATTGTTGAAAAAAAAATAGATATTATAAAGCAGTGCTTAAAAGATGAAATATTAATGATAATCACGGATCGATGTGTCAGACCGCCACTTCACCAAGCTATTTGGAGCGGGAGTAAAGAAATAGTTGAATTAATTTTAAAAGAAGTTGATGATATTGACCGCGTGGATTCGTTTGGCAGATCAGCGTTGCACATCGCGGTTCAAAATGGATATGAAGATATTGTACCGATTTTATTGAATGAAGGTGCTAACATCAACATCACATGCAAAAGAAAAAAACCTGCTTTGAGTTATGCCATCGATAGAATTGATTCACTTCGTTATGAGCTTTCTAATCAAAGAAATCATTCGAATAATTTTATCTTCAGAAAACACCACGACTTGTATCAGTATATTCAAATCGCAGAATATATTGAAGAGTATTTAATAAAATTAGAAGCTATGAATCTTTATATAAGCCATGAAAACTACAAGTTAATCATTGGCTATATGAACATCGAGTATGAAGAAGAAGAATACGCTAATATGGAGCTTGATATTAATTTTGCTCCAAAAAATTTACATCAGAAATGTGAAGAGGAATTTAATGTTATTAAAAATGAAAAGATTAAAGGCTACAATATTTCTTTTTATGATATTTTAACTGATTATACTTTTGATGATAATCAGCTATCAAAATTTGCGAAAATTTTGTTAGGTGAAAATTTTGATTATAAACGCAAATTTAAATTATATTATGGGATCATAAAAAATCGTCTTAAGAGAGGAATTGAAAGAAATAAATTATTACTTCATTACGACTTGGAATTTAATGGAAAAAATGATTATTACTTTTTTGGAGATATTCAATTACCAATTTATTGTATCACTGCCATTTTAAAATATCTTGGGAATGAAGATTTGAAAACTTTAATTGAGGCTGATCGATTACCAAGCTCTTCTGATTATATAGTTGATTCTTCAAAAATTGCAGATCAAAATACTTCTACTATTAAGAGAAAAATAGATAGAAAAGAAAAAATAGAAACAAAAAAAATTTTTTTGATAAAAAAACACCCAAGTCCTTTAAAAAAATAAATTTACGTCAGTTTCTTTTGTAAGTTAAGTTAATTTTTTTAATTAAAGATGACTTATTGCATTACGACTTAATAAATAGTTTTTATATATCTTACATTTATTTGTATTATTAAATTTGAAATAATTAAGATTATTTGACTGTATTTAAATTTAATTATGTATTTACAATTTTTTAACTATATTTTATTATGAATAAACAAGTTTAAAATTAATGAATAAAATTTTTTTAAATATTTTTAAAAACTTTATTAGTAATTTTTTTTTTTTAAGTCATTTCTAAGAAGATAAGTTAGCCAGAGTATGACAACTTAAATTTAATAAAATTAAATTATTTGTTAGTTAAAGTAAAGTAATAATTGAAGTAAAATACTTTTACTTAAATTAAGTTAATAAATGGTAAGTAAGTAAAAATGAACCTAAAATTAACCGACAGCGAAAAATTTTTATTAATTGAATTAGAAATAAAAAAATATTTAAAAAAATTACAAGTGTAGTTTTTTGTTTTTTACATGTGAAATTTTTTCTTTTAATTTTTTTGTAATAATTTTATTAATAAAAAAAATTTATAAAAATTAAATTAGCCGACATTTAAAAATTTTTATAATTTATTTTGTTGAAAAATAATTTTAAGCTCTTCTGATTATATAGTTGATTCTTCAAAAATTGCAGATCAAAATACTTCTACTATTAAGAGAAAAATAGATAGAAAAGAAAAAATAGAAACAAAAAAAATTTTTTTGATAAAAAAACACCCAAGTCCTTTAAAAAAATAAATTTACGTCAGTTTCTTTTGTAAGTTAAGTTAATTTTTTTAATTAAAGATGACTTATTGCATTACGACTTAATAAATAGTTTTTATATATCTTACATTTATTTGTATTATTAAATTTGAAATAATTAAGATTATTTGACTGTATTTAAATTTAATTATGTATTTACAATTTTTTAACTATATTTTATTATGAATAAACAAGTTTAAAATTAATGAATAAAATTTTTTTAAATATTTTTAAAAACTTTATTAGTAATTTTTTTTTTTTAAGTCATTTCTAAGAAGATAAGTTAGCCAGAGTATGACAACTTAAATTTAATAAAATTAAATTATTTGTTAGTTAAAGTAAAGTAATAATTGAAGTAAAATACTTTTACTTAAATTAAGTTAATAAATGGTAAGTAAGTAAAAATGAACCTAAAATTAACCGACAGCGAAAAATTTTTATTAATTGAATTAGAAATAAAAAAATATTTAAAAAAATTACAAGTGTAGTTTTTTGTTTTTTACATGTGAAATTTTTTCTTTTAATTTTTTTGTAATAATTTTATTAATAAAAAAAATTTATAAAAATTAAATTAGCCGACATTTAAAAATTTTTATAATTTATTTTGTTGAAAAATAATTCTTTAAAAATTAAAACAAAAATTTTCACATGTAGAAAATGTAAAAAATTATACGTGGAATTTTATAAAAATAGTTTTTTAGTTCTAATTTTTAATTAATAAAAAAAAATTAAAAATTGTTGAGTGTCGGCTAATTTAATTATAATAAAAAATTTTTATGATAATAATTAACTTAAATTAAAACGTAATTAATGATAATTTAATTTTATTGAAAAAAAAAGTTAGTCCAGAAGAATTTCTTATTTCCCGCTTTAATTTTTAATACTTGCGCGTCTGCGTAAAAATAAATGCGCAATGAAATTTGCCGTCTTTCTTAAAAAATGAATTTATTAATTATTAATAAGGTATTTATTAGTAAATAAATGAATGTTAATAAAAAATTAAACAAAATAAATATTAATACATTGCTAATTATCAGCAACTATGAAATAATATTACTTTTTCTATAAACAGGTTTTTAATTCTTGGAACTGTGCAAACCAAGTCCACCATGTTAACTCCAGTATCCAGTCCCTCCCTGACGTTTCTGTACATTCCTTCGATAACTTTATCTTTTATAAAATTTTTCATGTGAATTATAAGCTTCAAAAACTGACTCAATGCTGTGAAATATCTGGAACAAGTTGCTGCTAATCGTGGAATAATAATTTTTAAAAACACTATGGATGATCTCGGTGAGTTTTCATTTTTTTTCCAACAAATTATTCATAATTTTTTAACCTCGAAATATTTTGACTTATGCTAAATATTCAATATTGTCCATTTAATATCAACTTATTTTTTAAAATATGTTTTTATAAATTAGTAAAAATTCTCCCTGGTAAGTTTTTGTTCCTAAGGATCAATTACAAATAATTAATGCAATAGTAAATGGCATTTTTTCCTATTTAAGATCTATAAAATCGCGGGAAATTCAAGTTATAATTATATTAAATCTGACTCGCGGAGTCTAAAAATAGAAGATTACGTTTATTAGAGTAAATTTGTTTTGTTGACACTAAACATTGATTGATGACAGTGTTTATCACGTAGTTGGAATTTATACTTATAAACATTCTGAAAAAAGAAAGTGAATGTTTTTATTAATATTTAAAAAACGTAATTTTTTATATCAAGATTCTTCAGCGCTCTTGAATAACATTAAAGTTAGCAATTATATTTGACAATTTTTTAATTTTACTAACAAAAAAATTAGTTCCAAAAAATTATTTTTAAAAAATTGCATTATTTATTTTTTAAAATTTCTACATGTCAATTTTATTTTTTTTACCATAATTTATTTGTTATAAAATTCTTAAATATGTACTAAATTAATTTTCATCGCTTTTTAAAAAAACAAAACAACTTTTTTTAATGACATTTAAGTTAGCAGTCACTTAACAATTTGTTAATTTTATTTATCAAAAAAATTTGCTCCAAAAAATTATTTTAAAAAAATTGCATTTTTTATTTTTTAAAATTTCTACATGTCAATTTTTTTTTTCTAATTTTTTTTTGCCAGAATTTATTAGCAATAAAATTTTTAAAATTATTAAATATACGTTAAATTAATTTTCATACTTTATTAAAATTTAAGATTAAAAAAAAAGGCAAGTTGATTGAAAAAAATTCTTCTACAAGTTATTAATCAGTAATTACACAAAATTTAATAATACTAGCCGACGTTTTTAATTTTTTTTTTCAATAGTTAAATTAGAACAAAAATATTGATTTTAAAAAGTGCACTTACAGTTTTTTAAGTTTTTTACAAATGAAATTTTTTTTTATTTTTTTGTAATAATTTTTTGAATACAAAAAAATCATAAAAATTTTCAGATGTCACGTAATTTAATTTTAATTAAAATTTATTCAACAAATTTATGACACTAATCTACAGGTAGGTATTAGAAATTTTTTTAGAATTTAATAACAATTAAATTATTATAAAATAAATTAAACAAAAAAATTCCACATGTGAAAATTAAAAAAAATTATTAGTAAAAATTTTTAGAAGTATTTTTTTTTTATTGTAATTAATTTGTTATAAAATAAAAAAAAAAAAACTGATAGTTGTCAGCATACAAATTTGAAATCTTTAAATTCGGAGTTTTGAACAATTTTTCAGAGATCAAAACACTGGTTTAATATTTATGGTACTAAAGTTAGCCGACATTTATAATTATTTGATTTTTTTTAATAATTAAATTAAAACAGAAAAAAATTTCACCTGCAGTCTTTGAGGTTTTTTACAAGTGAAATTTTTTTAAAAATTTTTTTGTAATAAAAAAAAATTCTAAAAATTTTCAAATGTCGGCTAACTTAATTTTCATTAAATATTTTGTAATTAAAAATTCATATTAATTTATGCTGAAGCAACATTTTATAATGTTGGCCTTTTTGATAAGCTGTAAATTTTTTTAAATTAATTATTTAAATTACGGCCGTGACATTTGAACGCAAAAAGTAGGAACAGCTGCTTAAGGAAGCCCTTAATGAAATAAAAATAAAACAATAATTACTTAAAAACTTGTTTAGAACTTACAGTAAAAAACTCTTAATTTTTACAATAAGTTTCAACTGTAATTATCTTCTAAACTAAAACTTAAAATTCCATCATGTTAAGTTTTCTCGTTTGTCGTGGGTCAAACACCCATGTTCTGAGATAGTATTACTGAAGCATCTCAACGTATATATGTATATATATAGCAGTTGTTATTTCTCGTAGAGAAAATAACGTTCCACTTATAGTGTCGCGCGACGAACGAGTCGTAATATAAGTTGAGTCTCTTAACTTAAAACACTTTCTTTTTATCTGTCGAGCAATGCCGTTTATGTGTGATTTGTTTTAAAATTCAACAAGTGCCTTTAGTTAAAAGGCTCAAGTCCTTCTCAGTGTTCACCGTTATCATTTTACTCTACTTTCTGTTTAGTTGTCAGTTTATTGGATTTTTATTTGCAGATAGCAAATCTGTCTTATCTTTACTGTATTTACAGGAATCATTAACTAATTTTTCATTACTTCAATGACATGATCAGTGGAGCGGTAAAGTCCTGAGTATTCTCATTACTCATTACATAAAATCATATCGGAGTACGTGAAGATATAAGTGAATAACAGCGTCTATTTAAAGCTTGTTAAGTTTATTTTTGTTTATATTCTTCTTAAAATAAAACCATCTAAATCGATTATGGATGCAAACACTTGATAATACTATTCAAGCAGTGAAAAGTTTAACTGGCTGAGTTTTGTTTGTAATTTTAAAAATTGTGACAAAAATTGTTTTTTTAAATTAAGTTATAATTATGGATAGAACCATGTATGAAAAAGCAAATTATGGGCCAACTTACAGACCTTACAGAATAACTTTAAGAAGAGGCAGAGATGCTGAAGCTCCAGGATGTGAGTTTTAGAAATTTTTTTATAAAAAACAAATTTTTTATTAAATTAATGATAGTTAAATATGACAGTAAAGTTAGCAGTCACTAGAGAATTTTTTAATTTTTTTCAACAAAGAAATTGGCTCCAAAAAATTATTTTTAAAAAAATTGCATTTTTAAATTTCTACATGCCAATTTTTTTTTCTTATTTTTTTTTATGAAAATTAAGTTAGCCGACATTTAAAAATTTTTAGAATTGTTTTTTTATTGAAAAAATCATTACAAAAAAATAAAAACAAAATTGCACTTGTAAAAAACTTTAAAAACTATAAGTGCAATTTTTAAGAAAATATTTTTCAGTTCTAATTTAATAAATAAAAAATATTCAAAAAATTTAAAACGTCGGCTAACTTTAGTATTATTTTTTTTTGCCATAATTAATTTGATAAAAAAAAATTCTAAAAGTTATTAAATATCTGCTTGATTTATTTTCATTAATTAAATTAGCTGAAGAAAATTTGCACTTGTAAAAACTTGAAAAAACAAACAATGAAAATATTTATATTAATTAATGTGTGTTTAAAAAATTGTAAATTGATAATTATCTGATGAGATAATTTAAATTAAAATTCGACTGATAGTTTGTGTTTTTTAAATCTTCTACGTATGCATTTAGTTAAGAGACAGTGTAAGAACTGTTAACATTAAAGAATATAAATTAAGGTCGATGTTAAAGCTATTCTGTGTATAAATATCTGCATGACGGCATTCAAGAAGTTACTCAACAGCTATGTTTTTTATTCTTCCTTTTTTTTCTATTCATAAAACGTTCTCAGCATTCTAAGATAAGCACGCGATTATCCCTTTACGTTTTTTAAATTTGTTTTTTTTTTTTAATTTTCTTCAAAAGATTATTAAATAATTTTCTAAATTTTTTTACTAGGAAATTTATTGAAAAAAAGACTGCAGATGTTATTTAAAGTTAATCGCTACAATAATTATGACTTTAATGATGTCACTAGGAAGAATAATATCTGACGAACACTTTTATTTAGTTTGGTTAATTGTAACACAAAATTTAGCGACTACCACAATTTATTTGGGTGCATTTAGAGACCCGGTAGTGTCTCAAGCTAAACACACGTTCAAATGCATATTTATGGATGGCGCTAGGCGACCATATATCTATTCTCGGGCCATGTGTCATTCAGAGCTTTTATGATTTATTATTTTATTTTTTAATTAATAACAACTTTAATTTTTCCTGTTAATTTTTTATAAAAATAATTATTTGCTCCTATAAATTTATTGAAAATTTTTACTCGACACGCAAATATTCAAATTTCTGTTGAAAATTTGGATTTTTGGAAGTTAAATTAGATTTTAGACTTCATAATTTTAAGGTAAAGTACCCAGTACTTGAAAACTTATAAAAATGGGACCAGTAGTTGAACAGACTTTTAGAATTGTTGTAATATAAAATCTGTATGTATATTATGAGTAATATGCACATGTTATAATTATTCAATGATACAGTAATTGATTTTGGTAAGTTTTTTCAATTATAAATCAAAACAATTACATTTTTGTTAACTTTAAAGTTGACATGTCGAGAATAACCGAGAGATGCTATTTTTTTCATGAAAAAGGTACTAAACCGTAAACCGAACAATCAGTAAAAAAAGCGGTATATCATCATTTTAAGTGGAAAAAAATTGTACCACCTAATGAAATAGTCTTTTCTAAATAATACATATTTTTTGAAAAGACATAAGTTATAATTCTAATATTAAATTTTAGCGTTCAACTATACCTCCCAATTTTCAAAGCGGTACCCAGAACTTGAACAAGCTGGGACCATATAATTTTAACAGCACTCTAACCTTTAATAGGTTTATAGACTAGTGATCAGTATTGTGATTTGTATTAATTACTGCAAATTAAATAAGTTTTATAACTAAAAATTAGTATAGTTAAAAATTATTGAACGTTTTGAATTGAGTTTTTTTGATTTATAATTGAAAATTTACTTTGCCATTCATAAAAAATGTAATTAAAAAATCAAATACAAATGTTTCTCATTTTTAAATGAACATATTAAATATCCACAGTATTATTTTTTATATTATTCAATAATATGTTATAAATCTTTGAATATTTCAATAAAACGTTAAAAATTTTTGGTGTGCCTATTGCCATATATTTTATTAGTTCAACTACTGCTCCCGGAGTGGTCAATTACTGCGGCTTGTCAGAATTGATTGTTCAACTACTACTCCTTTCATAGTCTATTTTAAAAACGTTGTCAAATTATAAATATTCAATTATTTGCGTTATTTTGCACTTCAATCAATTCAAAATTGTTTATATTTTCATGAAAATCACTAATTTGAACTAATAATTACATCTTTATCTATTAAAAGTAGGGTCAAATACGTTTTATTTTGAAACCTGTTCAACTACTGGGGACTTTACCTTAGTCAAAATAAGAAAAAAAAATTTTCTTTTAATTTTTTACTAAGGAATTAATAAAATTTTTTTAGTTATAGAATTAACTACAAAAAAATTGATAAATTTTTTTTCTTTAATAATTTTTTGCGGTATTGCAGTCAATTAAAAATAATAATACAAAAAAAGTATAGGAATTTAATCGATGCTATTAAATTAATTAAATGCTGGAATTAAATTAACAAATTAAGAACAATTGTATTAATTATAACTACGTCGATTAGACTTAAACTTTAATGGATTACACAGAAAAAAAATAAAAAGGGAAAAATTACATTATAAATAATAATTTAAAACTAGAAAAATTACAGTTTGAAATAAAATTTTTATAAATTCAAGTTTTAACATTACTTTTCACAGTTTTAAATTTAATATTATTCCAGTTTTAAATTTGAAGCGACATTTATTATTATTTGTAATATAATTTTTCCTTTTTTTTTCCTGTGTGGTTTCAAAAACAAAAGGATAAAAAAACACTAAATATATAAACCTTTCCTCAAATTTGCACCCACGTCTGATTTAATAGAAATTTGTATAGTCAATCCGTATTAATTTGACTGGCCTATAAAGTGATAGATGCTGAACTACACTTTATAGTTATTTAATAAAAAATGTTTTACCATTTGCCCGGAAATGGTTTTTATTACTATACAGGAAATCTGTGGTTTTATGAATAAGAATTCTGGTTTTTTATAATAAAATTTACAAAAATAGTTAGACTATAAAATTACCACATTTAATGCGTCATCAGATATCGTTTTTTATGTAAATTAGAAGTATCGGATAGAAACTAAGTATTACAACAGTTTCTCTCTTACAATAAAGTGCGATACAGCTATCAAATTTTTTTTACGGATCTTATAGTAGTATACATTAAGTTCTTTAAATATTCAATTACAAATAGAAGTAAAAAATAATTTGGATACGTAGTAAAAATAAATTTCTTTCAATAAAACGTAAAAAGTTCAACGTACTGAATTTATATCTAAGTAAGTTTTTATTACAAATAAATATATCATCTTCACTATACGAATAGAAGCTTGAATCAAATATTTCATTTCAAATTCCTTCAAGTTTATTGACTTATTAATTTATAAAAAAAATTAACCAACTCAACAGTTTTTAATTTTAATTTATTTTGTAAAAAATTACAATTTTTTACTTTTAAAGTTAAATTTTTTTTTTTAAATTGTTTAAAAAAAAAAATAAAAATAATTAATACATAATAAAAATAAAAAAAAAAATATTCTTGACTACCATTTAATTATAATTATAATTATAATTTAAAAATTAAAAATTTACACCAAACATTTTAATTTACTCTGTTAATTTTTTGTATAATTAAGATCAATTAATTTTTATTATCTTTATGCACTTATATAGTAATCAAAATGTCATCCATAAGTATGTTAATTTTTTTTTCATTATTATTTATTATCACCGCGCTATTTTTATCCAGATAAATATTTTAAAATAATTTATCATTACGTCAGGGCCAGTAATTTAACCATTTAATAAAAACGAATATTGGAGTTTATTAAAGTCCTTGATAATACGTCTGTTCGAGGTCTGGATCCATATGAGGTTTGGAAGATTAGTTATATATGAAAAATTCTCCTACGACACACACTGTACTCCCACGCAGTTCTTAACATTTTATTTCTGTTGATATAATATTATATCTTGGCGCTCCCACTATAGCTTCAGCAACTTTTATATTATAAACCATTTTCAATATTACTTATTGCGTAACATTATACTCCAATTCGCATCGAGGCGCTGTCATTTATCGGTTATTAATCGTGTAATTTATGTTTAAATAATTTTAATATTTTTTTATTAAATAAATTAGAACTAAAAAAATATTTTAAATAAATTGCACTTTTATTTTTATAATCTTCTACTTAATAAATTTTTTTAAAAATAATTTTTCAATAAAATAAATTATAAAAATTGTTTTTTATTGAAAAAAAAATTTTTTTTAATTTTTTATTTGTAAAAAACTTAAAAATCTATCAGTTCAATTTTTTAAAAATATTTTTTAGTTTTAATTTAATAAATTAAAAATGTCGGCTAACTTTAGTATTATTTTTAGTATTGCGTTAGAAGTAAGACGGAAGATATTATTTTTGTTTGTATGAACAAGTGAGAAAAGAGATGCTAGGCACACCTTGGCCAAGATTATATTCTTTCGGCTATACTTAATGTACAGTAAGTTCAGTAAGAAAGACATAATCCAAGTACGCGTTCTGATTTAATAGAAGCTCCTTGTGATTTTAGTTTTCCTTCTTGAGTCTTACCAGACATAAGATCTTATTAACTATCTTTGTTGTCTCTCTCACGTGGAAACGCTAAATGTTGTTACTTGTGACACGTGTTTATAAATAAAGGATACATTTATTTTTGTTGGAACGTGTAAAAGTTTCGATTGACAAATCAAGTTTGAGTTTATTCAATAAAATTTATTTTATTAAATTTTTTTTTTTTTTTAGATGAAATTTATTTAAAAATTGAAAAAAATTAATATTAAATAAAATTATGTATTATTATTATTAAACTTTTGATCTAAATTGTGATTTATTTTTGGTTTCGGCTCGCCGTTATTTTCACAACGCGTAACTCAACTTATGTTTATTACATCAAGCATAAAAATTTATAATATTAATATTAATAAAAAGTTTATAAAAAATTGAAGTAATTAATTTGTATATCTTCTTGAAATATTTTATAATTTTTTAAGAAAAAAATTTTTTGATGTATTTTTGATAGAATATTTATAATTTTTTGATATTATTGATATTTAATTAAAGTAATTTTTTATTAAAATATTATATAAAAGAAATAAAATGAATCTTTCGAGGCCAGTGTCGCCAGTATTTCCTATCAGTTGTAATCGCTTGGCGACAATTCAAAGACACAAGCCATTGGAGCAACATATAAGTAAGTAAAATCTTGAGAGAAAATATGAGACCTCAATTAAAATATGCCAGCTTTTTAAATTTCTTATCAATTTAAATTACTGCGGTGTGTAGTTTGATGATAGTGAAGAATGACGTATGTCAAAAATCAATCAACGGTACCAAGGACAAGAAGAAATTCTTGTTTGTTATTTTTACTTATTAAAATTTTTTTTATTTCTTGCAGGAAAATTAATTAAATTGTTTTATTAATATCAATGAATTTATTATTTTAATTATAATTTGTGACCTATAAATGAATAAAATTTTGCTTTATTAAATAATGACTTTGGTTAAATTGCACTGTATTTTTTTAACCATTGACGTTTTTAAAGATATAAGCTCATCCCGATGTTATACTCATCAAGAACTTTCATTGGAGTACCCACATGCATTTTCATATATTTTTCATATATAGATATATCTAATATATATAAATGTATGAAAAATTGATGTGGGTACTCAAATGAAAGGTCTTGATGAGTGTAACATCCGAATGAGCTTATATTTATAAAAATGTCAATAGTTCACAAGATACAAGGTCATTTCTTAATTATGTTAAATTGCGCTGTACTTTCTTAACTATTGACATTTTTAAAGATATAAGCTCATCCCGAAATTACACTCATCGAGACCTTTCATTTGAGTACCAACATCATTTTTTCATATATTTATATATATTATATATATAT